AAAGTTTATTTTGCATTTTTTGGAATTTTTTTGTTTTAAGGTCATTTTCTTAATTTTTTAGGGCATTTTAGAGTTGTTGGGGCATTTTTTGAGTTTTTGGAAACAAATGATGAATTTGAAATTTTATTTCAAGATTTTTACACCAATATGGTGTACAATTTTTTTTTTCAGATTAAACGAAGTACAAGACTATGAGATCTAGCTTGTGTACCTACAACTTTTTTTTTAAATTTATACTAACACTATGTATTTACACTTGTAATATATTTTTACAATCCATTTTATTTTAACTTTTTATTGTAATTCATATAATTTTATTTATACTAAAATTATAAAAAATAAAAATTATAACTTATAGGTATTTGAGAACTTACTTATAAATATAAAATAATATAAATACTCAATGATTATTTTGATTTCAATGGTTAATAGCTTAAGAAACAAATGATACAACTGTCGCAAATTAATAGATAGGTATTAATATTTGACACTCTGAAAATTTAAAAAAATATAGTATATTAATATATTAAATATTAATTACAATTTTTATTTAATCTACCTATAAAATATGTACCCACTTAAATGTATATGCCAACACAGAATTTAAATACATTTTTATAAGCATAGGTATATTTTATACCTAGTTTATACCTAAAGTTTAATAATTTATAGATCACCTAGATGTGAAACATGAATTACATGAATGATTACATGAATTTTAATATGGTTTCATTTATTTACATTTAGGTACCTATTTAATAGGTACATAACATATTATAACAATATAAATAATTCTACTATATCATAATATTTTAAACAAATAGTTTTAGACATTAAGGGTCGATGGTGAGAAAATATTTTTGTTCTGTTGATCTCTTAGTGTAAAGTGTGATTGGAGATGTATTAGGGTGCACCTATTATTAGCAGAGTGAAGTTGATTGAAATTCCAGGTTATTTTGTAAATTTGATGATTAAGCTGCTCGCTCATTACAATTGAATACTGTAATACCAAATGGCCATTAATAATGTTTTGTAAAAATTAATTTGTTTTAAAGGTTTATATTTGATTTTTTGTATTTAATAAAAAGTAGAGGTTTCTGTGTTTTTTGGTTGAATAGCAGTCTTTTTGCTTAAATATGGTGGGCCCAGTTAAGTCGTTTGTCTAAAAACATACCTGAGTAGTGAGTAGGGGGAATTTGTTACAATAGGAATAAAAGAGTTGTTTAGTACTAGAAAAAACGTCTTTACGAGCAATGATTTAGTAGTGTTAATTTTGACTACACTTAGTGTACCAAGAGGATACTACCTAAGTTAAGGTACAGATGATACAGTATGAAAAGTAATAAATAAAACGTACAGAGTGTGTTAATATTTTAATTATTTTAATTTGTTTTACACCTAATTAAACTCAAATAATGTCATGAAATTGTTATTTTGTCTTTTTACAATTAACAAACATTATTTAACTTAAGTATTTTATTAGCTAATAATATCCAATTATGTTTTTGTCTTGTAATATTTCCTCCCTATTTGGCCTATTTTATTATTATAGATAGATTTATAGATATTTAGACCTAAAATAGACATCTTATAAATCTGAAATGTTTACTGAGTTGTGCATAGTATAGCATCATATTATATTGTTCTGTATTAAATATATAAATTATTATATTAAATAAAGTTTACCTATTTATTTTATATACTTAAAATACTATTATACTATTATATTATAATATTATTGTATAGGCATTAAGCATTAATGTTTAGCAATATAAAACATAAAATATAAAATATTGAACGTTAGGTACCTACCTACTTTTTAATTGTATAGTAGGTATATTAATTATAAAATCCAAATTAATATAATCATTATATTATATTATAATCATTATTTTATATAAACCATTAATTATTGTCAGTTTAATATGTTTTACTATTATGCATCTTTAAGAAAATGTATTTAAATCAAACCACAAAATTGTAAAAGCAATAGGTATAACTAATTAAATGTAAATTATAATAAAATTTTATTCAGTTTTTGTAAAAAAAATAGCTGTGACTTCCACACCTCAACTAAGGCCCGGTTTTTCAATCATATTAATATTTATTCATCGAATAACATGAGTTATTCGACAGATAAGAAAAAATAGCAAAATACCGGTTTTTCAATGTCAGAATAAGTCTTATTCGATGAATAAACCACGAATAAGTTATTCGGTACTTTTTTGACCAAATAACAAGTTATTCGACGAATAAATGTGTTATCATAATGTATAACTGTGCTGTGATAACCAAAAGTTGTATTTTGTTATTATTACAATAATACCAAACCAGAACGTACTTCTTATATTTTATTTTTTTATAAATAAAATATAATGAATATATTTGGAATATTTTATGAAGACGATGATCAAGAAATCATCGAATTTTTAAATTACCAACGTCGTACATACACCATACGTATGAGAGTTGATCATATGACACTTTGGGATGATCATGATTTTAGGATCAGATTCCGAATCTCAAAGGTGGTCGTTCTTCAAGTTTTAGACCACATCAACGACCAAATATCTTCATTAACCGATAGGTAAGTTGGTTTACTATAACTGCCTCCCGAAATATTCAGTTATTTATATTGACAATGTCCGTAAACAGTTCAAAAAGAGTCAAATTTTGCGTAAAAATTGCCGTTTTTTCCTTACGTCGCTTTTGAAAACACTGGGAAATGTTTACTTTTGACCCCCCAAAGTACCAACTAGATTCACTTTCCTATCAGAAAAGTTACTGTTAAAGGAAATCCAAGCATTTTTACTGTCCTAAAAAGGTGATGACAGACACAAAAAAAAAAATAAAAAAAAATAAATAAAAAAAAACAGAATCTAAAATGTTGATAGAAGATTCCCCACAAATGTCCCCGCCTTAATCCAAAAAAAAAGTTGATCTGAAAGCAATATTCATTTTTAATGAGCGTTTGAATTTAAAATTTTTACAATATTGGATTTTCATCGAACTTCTTGGTTTTCGAAAATAGTTTTTAAAAAAACTTAGTATCAAAAACATTGAATTTCTTTTTTTTAAAAATTCAAAATATACAATAGATGTAACTTATTATGATATACAATTTAATCTCCGATGTCTGTAGCCCTATAACTCTCCGTTTTCGCGTAAAAAAACTCGTAAGAGTTTTTGAAAACTTTGATTTTCGACTACATTTTCTGTTCTATAAAATTATGATTTGTGATCTAGGTTTGACACACATACAAAATAAGGTGCTAACTAATGAAAATCCAATTTTTTTTTAGAAATCATGCAGTGACATCCATTAACAAATTGCTTTTAGCTTTGAGGTTTTATGCAACTGGTAATTTTTTGATCACTTCTGGAGATTTTCTTGGGGTTAGTAAAACTACGGCATCGTTGATTGTACGTGATGTCAGTATTGCCATAGCAAAACTTCGACCTAGGTTTATACAAATGCCAACGACAGAAAGGGAAATAAGTAAATTACAAAGAAGTTTTTACCAAATTGCTAGGTTTCCAAGGACAATTGGTGCAATTGATTGCACCCATGTCAAAATTCAGAATCCAGGTACCTAATACATAAATTGTAATTTGTATAACTAATATTGAAAATGTATTGAATATTTATTAATGACTATACAATTACACAGGAGCAGGGGCGGACTGGCAGATCGGGAGATCGGGAAATTTCCCGATGGGCCGGTCGAATAATCGAATAATGGGGCCGGACAATTTGGTTGTAGAAGTAACTTATTACAATATTTTGATTATAATAAGAGTTTATCAGTTTTTGGTAAATTTAAAATCTATAGAATATAACATAAATAATACGTTAATACGATAATAATCGTACCTTAATATAATTTTGCTTTTCTAAGAAACATACGAAACATAAGGTATTTATATAAATAGAAATTACGCTGCCCGCGTGCCGGCCGCCGTCCCCGTGTTGTTTATAATATACGATAACGATATATTATTAATTCGATGTATTATTGTTGTTAGTTGTTTTTAAATAATATATTATTATAATTTATTGTAAAGAAAGTAAAGTTATTGTTATTAGGCCTATACATTTTAATCTATATTCAATTATTATTAAAAATTGGTTAAATGGTTTAAAATATAATAGAATAGAATATAATAGAATTATTAGTTTTAGAGGCCTATCCGGCTATCCCCTATTAGCTATTTGAATTTTGAATCCCACCGTGTGTTGTCGTTTTTAAATTGAATTATTCTTAATTCATATTGTTACGGTTCCCTAAGACCACATATTTTATATTTTTCTATAGTATTTGAATAAAAATGCTGATAGAAACCAAGGCTCTGCATCCAAACGTAATATTTTTAGATTATTATTAACAAATAATAAATTTAACTCTACTTTTTGTTATTTATGTTATTCAATTATAATTTATGTATTTTATATTATAACTATAATATAAAATATAATTTTATTTACATGATAAATTACTATTGAGTTATATTATATTATATTGAGGTCCTTCAGTAATAAAAAGAGAAAAACTTTAAAGTTTATATAGAAAATTTCAAATATTTTTTACTCTTAAGTGTTTTATTTAAAATTATGGATAACTAAACATTATAAATAGTAAATGTTCAATATGGTTTTATTTAACACTATAAAAAGTAAAAAGAATTATGATACCTATGTAGCTTTTTAGTGTTTGTACGCCACAGAAGGAAAATATACTTTTGTACTGGTTGACGATTACCGATTAATAATATAAAAGAAATATACCTATTGATAGCAAATATGGTAATAGGGTATTGATGTCCATCAAATTTCTAAAGTGTTTTATTTATCTTCTGTTAGTATTAATTATAATTTAAATATTCAACTGAGAAAATGTCTGGTATTTCAAACGTAAGTGCTGCAATAGTGTATTAGATTAGGCCTTAGACAATATGTCAATATAATGCTTAAGTAGTTCCGGCAGGCGGCAACGCCATCGATGTTACAAAAAAAGACCTTAGACAATGGTTTATGGGCGATGGGCCGCTTGAAAAAAAATTCCCGGGCCGCTCTGAAGGAGCCAGTCCGCCCCTGCACAGGAGGCCCTAACGCTGAATATTTTAGAAACCGAAAAGGTTATTTTTCTATAAATGTTCAAACCATTGCATGTCCTAATTTGAAAATTATGGATGTTGTTGCACGATGGCCAGGATCATGCCACGACCAGACTATATTTAAAAAATCACAGATTTATTACAACTTAATAAATGGTAAATGGGGAAACAGTATAATTGTAGCTGATAGTGGCTATGCTAATTCTCGCCATGTGGTAACACCATTCTTGAACCCACGAAATGATATCGAAGAATTGTACAACGAATCAATTATCAGGACAAGAAATCCAGTGGAGAGGTCATATGGTGTACTCAAGAGAAGATTCCCAATATTATCCTTAGGACTACGATTGAAATTAGAAACAACTCAAGCTGTAATTGTAGCTTGTTGTGTTTTACACAACATAGCATGTGATAATAATGATATGGACCCACCTGCACTAGACATAGTTCTACCAGAAAACGAAAACATAAACATAGAAGAACAACAACCAGAAGGTGAAAACGCAAGACAACAACTAATGCAAGAATACTTTGTACATTTTTAATAACTATATGTAATTATTAGGGAAAAAATGAAAAGCTTGTCACTGTATCACCTGCTTATCTGGTCAGGATAAATTAAAATAAAAAATAACATAATATAAAATATAACATTTTAAGGATAACATTTTAACTAATTTTAGTTAAGACTAGTTTTAAGTTTTAGATTCTTTCAGAGTATCCAACTTCTGTTTTTTAATAGCAATATCCAATTCTAACGATTCCAATTCTAGAGCATGTTTGACTTTTAGGAAAATCATATTCTCTTCATGCTCTCTTAACAAGACTGATTTCTGAAATTCAACCAATTCAATTTTTTTTCCTGCTAATAGTGAAAACTTATCACTAGCTGAAGCTTGGCTGTTATTCTTTCTTGTCATGTTGTTTGCTAAAAATTATATTAATTGTACAAATATATGTATATATATATATATATATATATATATATAAATATATTAATATTAAACATATTTTACTTGTTAGTTTTTGGTGTTTTCCAGTAGATCTTAAAAGTTTAGTGGATTCGATGGGAGACCAAGACTGTTTATTATTACTACACAATACACCAGAAGTACTGGCATGATTTACAATTAAACTATTGTCTATTATTGACTCATTAGCTAATTGGGTAGACAGTATGGTTGAATTATCTAATACTGATTCTCCGCATAAATTATCCAGAACTGAAATTTGTTTTTCTAGTGTTAAAAATGTAACAAATACTAAACACAAAACTGTAGAAAATGGTAAAAAAAAAATACCATTATTAACTGAAAGACAGTTATTTTCACTGTCTAGAACAATTTCATAAGCATTAAAACTATCTCTTGATTCAGATAACTTTTCAGGACTTATTTGAATTACATTATGTTCTTCGACATTAATTGGACCAATGACACTTTGTAGAACTGCATTAATGAAAATTGATAATATATATGGTTACATTAAATTAGAACATTTAGAAATTAACTTACTACAATCAGAATCTAAGAGGCTAGGTAACCCTTCAACTGAAAGCTGAATACTTTCATACAACTGTTTCTCCAATTCACTCAGTGGCGCAACCAGGATTCGTTTTCGGGGGGGGGGGGGGGGGGGGGGGGTTGTTGATAGTAGATTTGGAAAAAAAGAAATCATTTTCGACAGATGTTTGGTAGGGAAAGGGGGTAAGATTAAGTTAGGTTTATGAGTAAAATATTAAAACTAAAAATTAAACGGTTTAACTTCTATTTATAGATAGATGCTTGTCCAGTGACCTCCTTGACTTCTACAAACTGCAAAAAATCTTCTCGAATCTTTTTTTGCTCAGTATGGACGTATCTCGCACATATTTTCAACTGTTCTTTGTTTGATATATCAGTTGTTTCGTCAGCTAATACAGTGAACCCTTTAGATTTATTTATATCTTTTACAAGTTGTTTTAGAATTAAATTGTTACACACCATGAGAATCTCATTTTGGATTTTCCAACTAACATATAGTGCATGTTTAGCACTATTTTGTGGATGATCTTCAAGATCTTTATCACCAGAATCTACTCTTAACCTTAATAATTGTCTGAAATTTCCGTCATTATCATCATTAGTAACAGCCAATTCAGTACTTGTGTCATTTTGATTAATAAGTGGTTTATTTTCCCGATGACCTCTAAGTGCGATTCCCTGTCTAGTGTCTACCACAAAATATAACAGTTTTAATTATTGGTAGAATGCATTTCCTATTTTTTTCTATTTCTTTTTAGTTACTACGATTTATAACTTTTAACGTTGCAAAATTCAAAATTGTAATTTATATCACGCACCACGCCACCACGGTCTTAGAACATTCTAACATTTGAAACATTTTATCTTTTCACGCACACCGGCATCATATTGTGATACCATGAGTGATACCACAAAAAAAGTATTATACGATCGACTATCGAGAATCATAGTTGCAAGGAAATTGAACGTATTACGTAACTCATGTTATATCACGGAATTCATGTTATATCATTGTTATCAATTATAATACGAACGAATCACGGTTATATATTTACAACCACGGACTAAGATATACAGGACTGGACACGAGATGAATATTGTGGTTACGAAATGTTTTACAACAGGCGGAGTTCGGGGGGATATTTTCCTTTTAGCATTACTAGCGCCGTCTTAGTGGATACTTATGGAACTATAAATTTGTATGATGTGTTCTAGTTCCATAAGTATCCACTAGGACGGCGCTAGTAATGCTAAAAGGAAAATATCCCCCCGAACACTGCCTGTTGTAAAACATTTCGTAGTCAACCCCCCCACACCCTCCAACCTTGTCGTGTCCAGTCCTGTATATCTTAGTCCGTGTTTACAACCATAAACTAACTGCAACCGTGATATGAACATAATACCTTATACTGAGTATGATGTCTATCGTCTATGGATACGAATAATATTAATATTTCATATCAATCAGCCGTTTCGCGTGTGCAAGATAAACATTTTTTTCCTACGTAGAATTTGTAAAAACATCAGAAAAATTTCGGGGGGGGGGTCACAACCCCCAAACCCCCCCCCCCCCCCTGGTTGCGCCACTGAATTCACTAGTACTTGTATAGTCAGTTTTACTGGGACCACCACCAGTTTTAAATAGTTCACTTTTTGAACCTCTCAACAACTTTTTTATACCTTCGTATTTTAGTTTTAAACTTGTAGCATCTCTTGGCTACAACAGTACAAAATTAAGTTTTTATCTCCAATAAGCGATTCCTATTTTTTTTTAGATTTTTCTCAGTATACAACACAAAATACACATAACTTACACATCCTAATGTAGCTGAATTATACTGCTCAGCAATTTTAAGCCAGCATTTGTTCTTATCTTTCCAAGACACAGCGTTTGATTCCTTATTTTCTAAAATATTTTGATTCTCTACAGCATATTTCAGTAATAATTCTTTCTCGGTGAATGAAAAATTAGTAGCCCTTGCCCTTTTAAGTTCATTATTTTTTGATACCATTTCGTAGCACAACACAACAAAAACTCAAGTTTCTAATTACGATGAACAACAAATTAATTAATAATTTCATCGAAAATATAATAATAATAAAATGAATAATATTAATAATAATAATACATTGATAATACGAGTATCATTGATAAGAATATGTTGACCAATCATAAACAAAAGTATATACAACTTGTTCCACAATCCACTATTACTATCACTGCTATCAGTACCACAAATTAATTTATCTACCGAATAATTATATTCGTCAAATAACTATTCGATGAATAAATTTGTATTGAAAAACACTTACTAGTTTATTCAAAAGTTTATTTGCTGAATAAGTTTATTCGACGAATAGTTATCTGACGAATAAATGGATGATTGAAAAACCGGGTCTAAGAAGAAAAATATATATTTATATAATGTGGTAACTTTGCAATTATCGCTGCGACGATACACTATTCATTCTATTTTATTTATATTTTATATAATTATTGGGGATTTATCAATCGATAACTTCAGAATTGAGATAGTATTAGCACTAAGATCGTTTCAAACGATAAATATTTCTGATAAATATTTCTCTGTGTCTATTTATCACTTTTCAAATCACAAATTCATAACCATGTTCTAAGACAAAAATAATTTTATGCGGCGAAATGGGTCGGCGGCAAAATGGGATTAATTTGGCGGCGAAATGGTACCGCGGCGAAATTAAATGGCGGCGAAATGGGATACGACCGTAGTCATAGTAATATAATATCTAAATAGTAAATACACACTAGATGCATTCATCGTATAAAATATTCATTTATAAATAAATCATTCAATTTTAAAAAAAATTTTATTAAATAAATAAATATTTTATTTTTCTACAAATTTTATGATGGCTATTTTATTACTCAATCTTACGGAATGTATATTTAAAGCTTTTTCCGCCAGAAGTCAAAAGAAAAATGAAGAGAATAAAGTATGTATAGAATGGTGTCTATAATTTTATAATTTTATTTTTACATTTTATAAAATAAAATGTACAATTTAATACGCTTTATGTGTGAAGATCGGAAACCACGACAATCCGCGCGTGGCCACCCGGTTTGGCGGCGAAATGGTGGACGCCATGAACATGCAGAACATGTTGTTGCCCAGCGTCGCGTACACGTACATGGGCGAGGAGATCGGCATGTCGGACACGGCCAACAGACGGTGGACCCGAGGGGTCGGAACGCTGGACGGAAGCAGCACTGCAGCCACTGCACCGTGTACAAGCCGTTGGCCGAGCTCCGGGAGACCCGGACGGTGCAGCGCGGTTCGTTCGACGGCAAAGATCTGTCCCAGTGTGTGTACGCGTTTACCAGGTAGGTGGTAGGTGGTGCACAGTGTACGCTTAATACACAACCTGCAGACCTCGGAGAATGCATTTCCATACCAAACAAATTAATTAGCTTTCCCTCGCCTCGTCGGTGGTGGTTCTAATAAAATAGTAATCAAAACTGAAACGCACACGCAATAATATAAGAAAATTAGACCTATACCTATATTAATAGGTAGTGGTACTAATCATTTATATATCTGATTAATGTAACTTTAGGTAATAATGAAAATATTTTAATTTCTCATTTTTTATTCTTCAATAAAAGTGCAGTCACAGGTGTACAGCTGGTGTTAGCTAGCAGCTCAATAATGCCCAATGCCTATTTACACATTAAATGTGTCAAAAATATGAAAACAATTATTTTTGACAACCAACTTGTTGATATAGATAATTGATATATTAATTTATTTTAGCCTTGTAATCTACACGTTATCATAAGTTTTTATTATTCATTCGTTCAATAATTATAATACAGTATATCGAACAAACAATCTTTTGTGACGATAATTTTCATAACATTATATTATTATATCGATCGCAGTGATCGTGAGGTTTACGTGCAGAAACGCAATATTATTAATAACTTATTCATTATTATACTCGAAGGACTATTTGCGTAGTGATTTAATCGTTTTTGAATATCCCGCACAAGTGAAAATGGCCTGTCTATTAACTATTAAGTTTGTCCTTACACTTGTGTCTGTATAAGTATAACATACAGAAAAATATAACTAAATATCTCCAAATAATATGTTTACATACGTTTGATATCCGCATGCACTCTTATTATTATTATATGAACAGCAAACGGTACTTTATCTACGATTTTACGATTTTTTATTCGATTAGGTCACTGCCGTCAGCAGAAACTTACCTGGTGGTAATTAACGTGGGCTCCGAGGACGAACATGTTGACTTGAGTAATTGGCCAACTTTGGAAAAAGACGAAACGTGGCAGGTACACACGCCAAGCGACAATGCACAATACTCAATAGGGTGAGGAGCAATTAATAATTGAATTACATTTTAATAATATTTGATAAGCACAACGTGGTATGATATAAAAAAAAACCTATATGAGCTGTAGGCATCGTTAAGAAACCCATAATTTATCCGCGAAAATGGTTATATCACACATTTGGGAACAGTATTTTCAGTAACTTTACCAAATGTACACAATGTATGGAAATGTACTTAACAACCATGTAGGTGAAGACATTTAAAAATACTTTGAATTAGTTTTAAGAATAGTAATATTTTTCTTGACATTTCAATAATTTTGCCTACATAAACGCCTTAAATAGCAATTGTGTGGCGTCTAAACAATTTATAAAATAAAATATCTCTGTATAGTAGGTACTAAGTTTCTGAGTGCATTTTACAACTGTACTTTTTTTTTTAATTTTGGGCAATAGTTAAATATTATGTAACTTAAAACGCATAAAAATGATTTAGGTATATAATAATATATAATTTATCTATGTCTTATATTATCCATCATAATATAATCTATTTACTGGATAAAATATTAAATGTAAAACAAATCACATTTCATTTCATTGAAGTATAAAACATTTTTTTTTAAATATTATTTTTCAATTAATTTTACCGTTAAAATGCGTTAATCGTCGATTTTCAATTTTTTTAAATATACATACATGAGTGTAAGCGTGTACCTGTGAACGAATTTTTAATGTGTTTAGGTGATTGATAGGTAACTGATAAAGTAGATCACTTTGATACAACCTAAATTATGTGGTATCCGTAACCGTATGTATGTATACATATATATACGATAATAATATATTTCATAATATATATTACATAATTCCTAATGTATACATCACTTATATTAATTATATTGTTGTACTGTAAGTCTGTACTTAAAGGTAATGTTTTATTGGTTTTTTTGTTTCACTATTTAGATATTCATTTGAAACAAATGGATTCACATTGAGACCAAAATCTGCCATTGTTTTGTGTGACAAAAAAGAATTATCATCATCATCATCATCCTCCTCGTTGCCAAGCAAGTCGATATCTCCATCTTCACTGGTGTGTATTTTGGAAATGTTGGTGCCCGCCTTGTTTTTCACATTTGCCCACTATATTTTACCAGACGAGTGATGCACGTTCGTTTTTATTTAAAATTTTTTATAAAATTTGTTTAATACCAGTGATTTATTTAATGTAAAAATAATTTAAAATTTGTGAATTAATAACTATTAATTACCAAGAATAGAAAGTCTAAAACTAATGAAATATATCTTGACAAAAATATATATTTTTGAGCATTGCACATTATGATTACGATTAAAAATATATGATTAACATAAAATTCATGCTGAAAAATCGTAAAATAAATAAATATTGCTCACGTAGGCAGTCTCTCAAATATACTATATCTACACACAATATGTACTTACGAACTTACGTGCAAAATGTGATACTAAGACGAGGGCGTGTTGTCGTTTTCCGATAGGTATTGATTATAACATTTAGGCCACCAGGTATCGATTACCGTTCACTAATTTACCGCGTGATTACCTGATTTTTTTTTCGATATAATCAATACAATAAAATATAAAATATTGTAAACCCGATTTTGAAGTCCAATGATCACTATTAATTATAAGAAATTAACATTATCGATTTCATAATTATAATGATGTGTAGGTATTGTATCTATATTCTAATTTATGTTTTCAAAAAATAGCGGTGGCGTTTTTTTTTAATAAATTAGCGTTCTTAGAAATAATTAATGTTCATGGATGAAAACATAAATTAGAATATACCTATATTTTTTTATATAATGATGTAGGTATCGTATCTATATATTCTAATTTATGTTTTCATCTATGAACATTGATTATTTCTATGTACATATTTTGTGTAGATATAGTATATTATTTGAGAGGCTGCCTACGTGAGCAATATTTATTTATTTTAAATTTATAAAATTTAAAACATGATTCCACGTAAGTAGTTAATTCTCTTACCGAAAAAATCTAAAAAATATACAATCACAGTTTATTTTTATAGTCATTTTATGTTCAAATTTGAACGAAATTACATATTAAAAAAACCACTAGCTTCCTTGCTCTGCTCAGAATCTAAAACCTAGTTATTTTGATGTGATTATATAATATTATTCGTGGGTACCTACTTGAAACTTCTAAAGTGTACTATTATATATCTATGATAGTATCAGGGTTTGTTATTGATGTTGATGTATAACGTGTTCTAACTTCTAAGTACCTAATGGATATTGTGATAATGTGATATGATTAATTTGGAATTTATTATAGGTCAATTTTTTTTTTAATACCATAGATATATGTATATAATTTGTCTTAAACCTAGACTGACATACCGTCTTCGCTCAGAATCGTTTCTCTTATACAATGATATTGTATCATTGAATTCAAATTTAAAAGCATCCATTATACAGTGACCCACTTGTAACCTACTGTACAGCAGAGCGACATCCACTTACCCACCTTTTTTAAGACTGAGTTTTGTGTTAATCATATATTTTTATCGTAATCATAAGTGCAATGCGCAAAAAAAAATATATTTTTGTCAAGATATTTCATTATTTTTAGACATTCTATTCTGGGTAATATTAATAGTAAGTTATTATAGTAGGTTGAATAAGTATGTTCTGAATCTCCTCCACCTTAAATTTTACATGTAAAAGCATAGACTCCTCTGTATAGGCAATTCATAGTATAGGCGCCTCCGAATCTTGTATAAATTACTCAATATAGGCAACCCGCAACACACATTGGCACGTCACACGCCACCCAATCCGACACGTGACAGACATATATTTTACGCCTTCCCCTTCAAATATATTGCCTCCCCTTTTATTTACACTTTAAAAAATATGTATATTATACTGATGTACATGTTTTGTATCGACTATATCGAACAATTGTCCTACATATATTTTACCCCTTAATAATCAAATACATTACCTCCCCTTTTATTTACCCCTTAAAAAAAAAAATATAATATTCTGATGTACATTTGTATCGACTATATCATACATACATACATACATACTAACATACATGCTCATAATATCATATAAGGTAGGTACCTACCTACGTACGCATTAGGTACATATATACCTACAATATACGCACTCCTTTTACATACACGCAGCACCTGCAACACATAAATAATATTCTACACCTCTCAGACCAGATGTTTAGTGGAGACAACACAATCAAATATCAACGGCGCCAGTAAACACCGTATATTATAAAATCATGAAAGATTTCATTCATATACATACATATACGTAAATCACACGTGTACGTACACATATATATATATTATATTTTAGAGCTTAGTAATATTAAACTACATTATTAAATAAACATTTTATTACAAAGTTCCTTGAATAATTAATATTTTATATAATTAAAATAATAAAAAAAAAAAATTAAGTAAGTATAAATAATAAATTATCTAAAAATCAAATTAAACTGAGTACGTATAGTATAGTACTATTATAAAATTAAAATTAAAAATTAAATTTTTTTTTATAGTAACTAGTCAGGTACATAAATCTTCTTTATATTTAATATAAAGATTATAAGATTATAATTTGGATTGCTTGGCTAGAATTTTTTCATGTTTTAAACTATTACATAATATTATCGCAAACTGCACCGCATGTATACATAATAATTATTATGTTATAGATACCTATCATTATAAAGAGAACTGTTTATCGTCTTACGGACGACTTGAATACTGATGAATTGCATTTAGCTGGCACGACGAGAACACAAAGCATCATATTTTCATTATTTTCTTTAAATAACATTATTATGACGTAGTCTATCTATATAATATATATTATATAATTATATTATAAAACCGGCGTAGTTATAATAATATTATACTTTCTTTATTATAATATTTTATAAATAATAGTGATAATACCGTACGTTGAAAACATTAAAATATTATTATTAACTATTTTTACTAAAAATATTTTAATAATTTTATTATAATATCTATAAAATAATATTTTTATTACCGTATAAAAAAATATTTAAATAATATTATTATTAAATAACTGAAAAAATATTATGTTAATTAGATAATTATGTTATTATAGTTATACTATTTTTATAACAATATTTGTGTACTCTAATAATAATAATATTATATTATTATCATTACACAATTGCTATCTGGGCAATATCTATATAGATATGTTACTTATATGGTACGAAAATATTTATATTTTATTTGAATAACCTTAGTATTTATTGAAAAAACTTTAGCCCATTTAACAAACTTTTGCCCCACTCTGCCCCCCTAGAAAAAAATTGTAGTGCCGTGACTGACTATTATGTAGAACTTTAAAATCAATTTTTCATTATTTTTAAGTGACTTAAGATCATTTAATTTTTATTTTACAATTGACTTACTCCATCAAGGCATGCATTTAAAATTATTACTAAACTTGACTTAAGATATTCAGACCATTTTAAAATTATTTATGTCAGATTGTCAAATTTTGACTAGGCATACGTGTTTTGTACCCAATATAATGTGACTTAAATATATCTTATATGTTTAGAAAAAAAGAAATTTCACTGATAGTGTTGCCGCTGTATCACCATATATCGCCACCGACCGGCTCACATACACACTCGCATTTTTGTTTTATATTAGTATAGAAATTATATAGGTATTATGTAGATTAAAGCTGGTTATCGTACGCCGCCGGATCTACTGGGCGAATATAATTAACACGGCCGCTGTAACATTTTTTTCTTCCTCCGTCCGTCGTCGTCACCAAACCGTCGTCGTGAGCAACACGTCGTGGATATTGTAATTCACGAATTGCCAATATTATTGTTTCCATCAAAGCGCGAATCTCTAAATAGTTGTAAATATTGTTCATTCGCGAATCGTCACGTTTTTATATACTGTTAAGGCACGAAGCTCCACAGTTTTTTTATATACATTGTAAGTCACGAATTATTGTCGAAATTATTATTTATTGTAATGCGAGAATCGCCAGTGTATACTATTTTCTTATTATTATGTCAATATAGTGTGTGTATCGTGTATTATTATTATTATTATTATTATTTCGATATAGGATAGGTAGCAGCTGAGCACCGCCAGCCGAGCACCATCATATCTGTGAATTTTTGTATTATTATTGTATTTTTTTACGCACAATTAATTGGTTAGGCTAAGAGGGACCGTACATTATTCTTATACTTATATTTGTTTGGTCATAAGGACCGCACATAGGGTTATACACATTATATAACACTTATTGTTTATATACGAGCCATAGCTCAAATAGCTGGCATATATTATTGTTATTGTATTTGTTGGGCCAGAAGGGCATTTTATTATTACTCATATTTTTATACTTTTATGTTGCCGTGATTTTTATATTCTTTGTATCCATAAATAATTATTTATTTTTTCTACAGTACAGCAACTCATTTTTACCAGCAACCGTGTTACCATCTTATAGTTACCTCTTGTCCAATAGTTTTAAACTTACACACTCTCATATATAAGCACACGTACACATCCACCACACACTTACACTCTCTGGTCTTGCTCGGCGACAACGTCCACTTAGTTTGAGTCTCTATACACAGTACACACATACACACCGTTACACATGTTGGTCGGTGTGTGAGTACAGCGTGCGAAGTATTTTGGTGACCGGGCGGCACGGCCTATCATTGTTCGTACCCGGCCAGTACAGATAGTGAGGTATAATTTTTGACTTACGTGATTTGCACTAAAAAAATATAAAAATATAAAAATGTTTGATTTTAATAAAATATGACTTAAGAGGACGCTACCCATAAATTTGTTGTCTCCCTCTTACACACTCACGACATAGCAAATTTTCGTTCTCTAGTTTCAATTGTATGCAGTTAGTTTTGATACTAGAGTGAATTGACCTATTATAACATATTTAGACAATAACATTATCTGTGCTTAAGCGTTGGTTTTTATTCGATATTATAATTTTCAAGCGAGATATGAGCCTTTAAAATGTTTAATATTTCACGTACACATATCTTACTTGAAAATGAAAATATTTAAAAATCGACAACGCTTAA